ATTTCGATGCCAAAGAAGTGACCAGCAATTAACATAGTTTCAAGATATTAAAACTTATAATTATATTTAATTGTATATCAATAAAATAAAATAATGAAAAAAATTTTTTCGTGATAGATTTTAAGAATCAATAATGATCAAAATTTGGAGAAATTTTTTTCCAATTTCGCATATGTATTATTTTTTTCCAAACATAATCCTTACTGTGAGTCCTAATTATCTTTCCTTCAAACTCTGTAATATTGATATATGAAAACTTGAAGAATTATAAAAAATATATTGCGTTAAGAGTGATCATAACCCACATATGTATAAAAGTATATATGTACACTATATATTTATAGATTTAATTAAGTTTTTTTGCGTAGATATTAAACATTTTCATCCACTCAGCTTTCCACACAACCGAATAAAAAGTCGTCGAACTCTTGTTTTGCTAAAATTATATTTTGTTATTGTTTATATAGTAATCAACTATGCATTTCTATGGATTGATTTTTTTTTTAGCGATGTGGAATTGTGTGCTGAAATCTTATCTATAAAAGTAATTAATTCCAATGAGTTATTAAATGTTTTCTACACGACTTTGACAAATTTAGCACAATATTTACTAAATTATGCCATAAATCATTGAAATATGTTAATATTGATTGCACGAGAAAATCCCTTCAGTAATTGAGTGTTTTCCATCGAACAATTATTGTTAAGTCGTTCCATGATGTATTATTTTTACTTCCTATTACTTAACTTCGAGAAAATGATTAATTAATATAAATTTGTTATTTATTTGTGGTATTTTTTGCATTAAAAATTTTCCTTCGAATTTCTTTTTAGAAACTTAATTTTAATCAAATTAAGTTAGATTAAGTAATTAATTAATTTTAATTGTCGTGTATGCAGAAGGAGACAGTTTGGCGATACATTTTATATAATTCCCAATATCAAAGCAAATTTATTATTAGCTATGTAATGCTTACAAATGATTATTTATGCCATATGATGTATAGTAGATATATATATCTGAAAAAATATATATACATAATATTAATTAATAATGTGCTAAGATTTTATTGTACACACAAAGTTGTACATAATATTATATTATAAAATATGCTGGCATATTCATATCGATGAGTTGAAATATTATATTATATTATGTATATATTGTATTATATATATTATATTATAGATGATGGTTGGATACATACTATATATATTGATATTTCCATCATTTCCCAAAGATGCATTTACATAAGCAATAAAGGCGACAAGTCCCATTTTAGTTTCCTCCTTAATATTTCTACCTTAAATTTGTTTAAATACAAAGACAGCGTCAAATTATTTAGCATTTGAGGAGAGATCCAGTGCCACTATAACTAATCTGGATAAAGTGAATTTCGGTATATTGGTTTTTCTACTGAACAAAACAAACTTTGTGTTAGCATGGCTTAAAATGTTAATTTCTAAGTCATTACGGTTAGTCTACCCGAAAATTTCGTCAAGAGGTCACACCATGACAGATATTTACCTATCTTTTCAAATGAAAACAATCCTGACATTGTGTCATCAACTGACCACGCTAGGATATATACACATTAGTCAAGCATTTTGAAAAGTGCTTATTCAATGTTTACCCAAGCTTTGAAGAGAGTGCTGCATCAGGGCAGGTTTAAATTTATTCAAACTCATCAAATTTTTTCTTATTATAAATAACTGTAACGTCAAGATTTCACGTTCATCAAGTCAGTGCAGTATGTTATGGAAAGAGTGCTATCACAACATACTAAAAGACTTTAACATGAATTTATCTCTGAGTCGGTACGACCACCCAGTCGTAGTCACCTAGTCTATTGTGAACTCCTTAAATATTGCAGTGCTCTCTTGTTAGCTACATTTTGGCCTATGGAAAGGTCGCTTTCTATCAGTTCTCAGTTGCCCTAGCTCATCATTTTTACAAAGAGGGTTATATTTATCTCGATACCCTCGAGTTATAAAATGCAGCGATTTGACACTTCATTGGACAAATCAGTCTTTTGAGTAAGCCTTTCAGTTCGCCCATTTTAAAAATTGTATGCAGTTAGTATTTTCAGGATTCGTAAAAAGGCCGTGAAGCTTCAATTTCTGAGTTAACAGCAATGCGTCTTCGACAGCGGTTCGAAAAGACCCTTTTTCGTTATTGAATTGCTTATATAAAAAATATGAATAAGTCTACGATTGTAGACTTATCTCTGCTATTCATATCACTGATACCTCAGAGTATGTGGCATATAATTATGATATAGCCAGCTTCTAAGTGGCTCTGTCTATGTTTATGTCTAGATATTGGAATATTTATCTATGCCACTATCTACGATGTAAATTTAATTTCGTTACCCAAAGCTTCCTCATAGTTGTTGTTTGGCATATTGCCTGTCACATGCACATTTGGAGATATTAACCCGTATTTGATGGTTCGTTCATTCTTTGATTAATCAACAGCGATTAGTATATCGCTTTCTCTTCTATTTTTGCAGGGATTAACCGCTAGCATAGACTGTCTCGAAGGCATTTAGTCAAGCAATGTTTAAGAAACAACAATAATAGTAATATAATAACGAGATTTAATACTAACAAATATTATTGCTGGTGTATTGTAAGCATTACTTGTAAAGAAGTAGAAAAATCTATTCTATATGGAATCTTATCTGGTATTTGTCGAAAGGATTTTGTAAGCAATTCCGTAGTAATGCCAAGATAAACAAACTTTTAACAAAATGTTAAATATATCAAAAAACAGTTATTTCTTTGTTAAAAATTACAAGAAACCCTCTAAATAAAGACATACACTACCCATCTTATTTCATTTGTATAGATGAATTTATATTATATATTTTGTATTATTTTATATCAACAGCTTGAGCAATAAAATATAGATAAATATTTATCATAAACCATGTTAATGATATATAAAGAAATATTTATCTATATTTTATTAAAAAAAAAATATTCTTTTCATTAAAAGAATCCATTTTTCTTTTGCATGCGAAAAAAATTATTCTACGCATTTAAATTTACTTAAAATTGAATGTATCTGAAATTCGAACAATGAAGTAGTGCAAAAAGATATTTGATGTGCACAATGACCCAATTGCGTTATTATTCTGTAATAGCCTATGGAGGGTGTGACTGAATTAAAAATAAGTACTGCGTACATAGATACAAAGGATATCAGAAATGCGCAAATTTTTTACTTCAATTATAGATAAGTATTTACAATCGGTCTTTTAGACTTATTACAAAAAAGAACCTGATACAGACCTGATACATACATATATTACAGTAAGGTCCATAAAGGACTATTTACACATAAATTGTGCTAATTGTGATATACACACAGAGAGATATTCAAAACTCTTAAGTTTTTATTATGAGTTAATAAAAGGTTGTAATAATATAGGCACCAATATTATTAGACTCAAAAATACTTTGTTTCAAAAAACTTACACCCAACATCTCAACCGAACCAATTGAGGTTTAATTAATGAATTAATGAATTAATGAACCTGAAATGTTACGTCCTTTTAACATTTTTTTATAATTTTCTATCATATAACTGATATGCTGGTTCACCTTTATGAAACACAACTGACCTATTTGTAAATCTATTTACGACTTATTTTCACTTTGTAATTATAAACAGCAGCGCTGAAAACAAAATCTCTTACATTATACTTCGAAAATATTTTATATTTAGTCTAACAAATTTTTATGGAAGAGCATACTATATGAGTTTTAAGGTAATTCAGTAAGATTTTAATTTGAATGCCTATAAAGTGAAAAGTGCGTAATACATTTAGAGAAAACAACAGAGAATATGCTTATTTCGCGGTATGAAATCTACGTAATTATTAATAATTAGCGTTAATTATTTATACAGTTACAATAACATAATAATTTAATAAAAAAAATCGGATTATTCATTACGTAGGCTAGACGTGTTTTTAATCATTAACCAACCAACATCTCTTGGATTCAAGCAAATATGAGGAAAGACTACGAATTTAAAATTTTATTGGATATGAAAACCGTACAATAAAATCACTAGACAAATATTGAATTCCAAATTTCCTAAAAATCATAATATATTTGTGAATATATAAGAAGAATTATAGGCCGCGATATAACTACATGTTATATACTCCTAATATTGTAATCATCACCAAAATCATTTTTATAATCACTATACCTTCCCATCAATGCAGTGAGTACAACTCAGCTTCCATGTCGACCTCTTTTTTGTATCATAACTACATCAATAACTAATGGCGATGATGATCAAACGCCTTTTATACCCAGGCATTGCTTTGTTTAGTTCCATGTTTGCACTGCCAAAATCTCTAGGAATATATTTAGATATGACGATACAATTCAAGACATAACATATACTAGTTACGCATCTTTAAATAATTTTTTATTGCAATTATGAATTTCTCCGCTTATATAGAAACAATATATAAACTAAACTTGTGTTCTTTCACAGTTTATTAAATAATTATTTATTACTTTATATAAAAATATTTACATGAAATAACAAAATAAATATTAATTTATTTATTAGGTAAATATCAGGAAATCTGTACATTTAATACTTAGTATTAAAAACATTCATTTAGATCGACTGAGTGTCCTACGAATAAACTAATTTACACAAAACATTTTTCAGTGAAAAAATATTTTATATATAACAAATCTTTTCAATTATATACAATTATTAAATTTACTACTAAACATTATTAATTTTGTTGAACTATTAAAATTTTGTCAAGTTTATAACTCGAAAACAAAAAACAAAACTTTGACGATAATTTCTTTAATAGAAAAAATTAAATTTTTTCCTTATTTTAGTACAAATAATTTGTTATTTTTTACGCATAAACAAATGTTTATATGTATAATGGTTTTTTAGCATTTGTATTTTTCAAAAAGTCATTTACCAAATACAAAATGCGTATATATGCTGTGCTCATAAAACAAGTTAATTATCTAATTCGTTATATATATAACTTACATTTTCTATTTTATCTCGAATGTTACACTTTTTAATATAAACAAACTATATGTTTAATTTAGTCTCTATTTAGATAAATGTATATGTACACGATATATTAAAAACTGCATTACAGATATCAATGTTTAGTGAGAAATGTTATTATAATTTATTTAACAAACAATCTGTAGATGATATATATTTTACATTGAATTATATTTTATAATAGAAACTGTTTTGTTGTATGCTTTAAAAGAATATAATTAAAAAATATTCATTTCAAATTCTGAACAATTCAATATATAACTAATTGATTTTAAATCAGATGTTCATTAATATCGCAATAAAGTAAGATTAATTGGCTTCTTGATAAATAAAAGCCAAATTTATAAATAATATGAAAATGAAAGATTACAATTAATGTTGAATAAATCTCTAACAAATATACATATGTAATAATGTAATTATTATTTAATTATAATAATTATTGAATGAATTATAATTTGTAGTTTTCTACGCTTGTGTGACAACAATAACACTGTCTGTTGAGTCTGCATTATCAGTTGTGTTTAACACGTCCCCATGTCCAGTCATTTGTATATGGGCTTGCAGCACGTCCACATTATCGAAAAGTGTATTGCATTCTCCGCATTTATATTTGGGTTGATCTAAATTAGGATGCTTACGTTCGACATGTGTACGCAGTGTCTGAATAGAGGAGAATGTTTTGCGACAACTATCGACGCCACAACAGTACGAACGCTGCTGATGTGTTTGCCGATGACGATAGAGTATTGCTTTTGTTTTAAATTCCTTATGGCATATGTTGCAAGTAGGTGTGCGCGATGCGGACTGATGTGTTTTCATATGCATTTTCAGCATTCCCGGACCTTTGAAGCTTTTCAGACAAATCTCACACTGCGGCTGTTTTTTACAATTCGCACGTATCCAATTTGAATGTGAATTCATATGGTTTTGCACACCTTTAAATTGCTTAAATTCCTGTCGACACAAATTGCACACATAACGCCCTGTACCTACTAGTGTAGTTTGTTGTGTTATAAACTCAGTAAGTATTTTTGGATCTAACTCATAGTCATCATTTGCAGCCGCAGCAACAATTGAAGAGGCAGTCGCAGCTACTTGACGACTATTTGCAATTGCGTTTTTTGGTACTAACTTACGAGGTTTCTTGGAAGGTGAGCAATGATTATTAACTATTGTTATACCTTCATTCATATCATTAGTGGTAACACTTGTATCATTTAGTTCGCCAGCAATCTGCAGCACTTCAGTTACTTCATCGTCATCTTCAAAGACAGTATATTGCAATTCACTATCATTATCATCTACACAATCCTCAACTAAATGTTGGTGATTGCCATCGTCTTCACACAGAAATTCACCATCTTGCTTTATTACATGCATAACAGTACCGGTACCATCATCTTCGAGCATTTCTTCCTCCATGTGTATTTCTTCTATAATATCATCTGCATGCATCATGTGGTGTTCTACATTATCATCGTCATCATTGTTTAAATGCTGTGAGTTTGTTGTCGTTACCGTTATATCTTCTAAATACTCCATTTCATTATGTGATAAGTTATCATCTTCAATTGTTATGGTACCGTGTCTAGCAAGCAAATGCTGCCCATGATCATCTTCCACCACAATAGTTTCACATACTTGTTCATCTTCATCTTCTTCAGTGCCATCATCAATTAGATGTTGTTCACTCTGCTCAATTAGTTCATCTTCGTCAACTATATTTATTTCATCAGCTACGATGTTTCCATTACTAATAGTTCGTTGTGGTACAATCTGTATTAATTGTAACGTTTGTTGTCCATTTGGTTGTTGTATTAATTGTAATGCTTGACCTCCAGTAGTTTGCAATAGTTGCGGTGTAAACTGCTGAGTTGCTAATTGGTTGGTATGTGAATTATTGGCATTACTCGTATTGATTATTTGGGTAAGTTGAGGTGGACCAGCATGTGTGACTATTTGTGCCGCTGTGATAATCTGACCATTGGACAACACAATCGGTTGGCTCAAACCATTCGATGTCGACAGCAATTGATGCTGTTGCAAACTTTGATTTTGCTCATGTTGTTGTTGCTGCTGTTGATGCGTTTGTTGTCGAGACGTGTTACCGCTAACATTATTCGCTTGAACCGTAGTTGAATCATTTATTTGTTGAGATTGCAATAACAATTCTTGTTGTTGTGCTTGAGTTAATTTTTTATTCCTTTGTCCTTTACGTGCTGCAGGTGTTTTCTTCTTTTGTAACTGTTGTTGTTGCTGTTGCTGCTGTTGTTGTTGTTGCTGCTGCTGCTGCTCTTGTTCTTGTTGTTTTTCCAACAGTTGACGTAGTTGCTTCTCTTCTAATTCCTGCTGTTCCAACTGTTGTTGCTGTTGTAAAGTTTGCTGTTGCAGTAATTGTTGCTGTTGTTGTTGTTGTAACGCTTGTTTTGCTTTTTGTGCATTTTTCTGTTGCTGCTGCTGCTGTTGTTGTTGAACTTGTTGTTGTAATCGTTGTTGCTCTTGTTGGAGTAAAAACTGTTGTTGTTTAACTTTATTTTGATTTGGTTTTACATCTTGTGGCTCCTCTATTACCACACGTACTGTTAAACTTTTAATGTAGTTGCGCAATTCTCGATCACTGCGTTCCACTAGACTCTTAAAGGCATGACAGCGCGATACCGCATGCACACATTGCACACAGATTTTATCTGGCCAACCTTCAATGTGTTTAACGCTTATCGCAGTGCACTCCATAAGCATTTCAGCAATTTTCTCTGAAAACAACGGGCGCATGTCCTTGCGTTCGCTTAAGCAAACGCGACATATTTTATCCAAATCTAGAACCTTTTTACGTTCCATTTTTTACAATCTGTTTAATGGGAATATATATATAAATATACATATTATTAAATACTTGTACTTAAAGAAACTCTGAAGGAAACGTAATAGAACAAAGAGCATAAACAATAGGAACTTTTCGCTAGCATAAATACTTGTGCGAGTATGAAAGTATCTCATATGAAAGAACTCAGCCGAATTAGCTGGTAATCAATGCGCTTATCGTATTAATCTTCAGCAAAACATTCGTTTATTTCGTTTTAAGCAAAACCAAATTAAAAGATTAACATTTGCTGTCTATGCAAACGTTCATTTTCTTCATACTGCACGTTTATTGAGTATTTAAATTAATCACGTTTCATTTTAAGTGACTCTTCCACGTGTAGAACGTATTTAAATAAAAAAAAAACATTTATTTATAAATAACAAATAAAATTTTACTAATTAAAGACGATTATTGGCTTGTCGTACGTATGGCAATGAAGATAATAATGCTATTCATTCATTCCTAATACTAACATTTAATTGAATTGCAATATTGGATGTTGTAAGGCAATTTTATTCCACTAGATTAAGGAGCTCACCATATTGAATGAATGCCTTTTGGAGCAATACGCAAACAAGTGGAGAACTTGTTTATGGTCAAGTCTGGTGCTATTTTGTAAACAAAACAAATGTATTTCTACTCGCCGCTTGTACATTATTGCGAACTTTGACATTATTTTTTTTTCAAAATATTTTCAGTATATTTATGACTAACTGCACAGTTATGTATATGCTTGTACACACGATATTTCACATAAAATTTTAAAACAAAAATCAATATTAAAAGCAGAATTTAACACAAAACAAAACAATAAATTCCTTTAAAAGCAGCCGGACAATTTTTTGTTGGCATAAATAAAATGAAATGAGATGAACATATAGCACGGGGGTTGAGGAAAACGGGTACAAACTAGTGCCAACGTAATCTAAATGCAATAAATAAAATTACAATAAGAGCTTCAACCAGAAAATGAAAATGAGACAAAGTGTAAAACAGAAATGAAACGCGACAATACAATTAACATAAGTAAAAGCGAGAAACAAAATTCAACATCACATAATTTATTATAATTTTGCTGTAGAACCACTGAATGAAGCACATACAAAAATAGCGCAAAATGAACTAAAATTGATTATAATGTTTAAAGCAGTTGTTCTATTACATTTCCAATACGTATATTAATTATTAATTTATATATATTAGCTTTCCTCTTTATAAGGCAAACTACTGCGTTTATAGTTTGTCGTGTGCGCCTCCAATATTGATGCGTCGATATCGTTCAGTTTTTAGTTAATTCACTTTTTAAAGCACTTAATTATGAACACCGAATTTTACAACATAAGTTAAATTTTTTATAAAAATGCATTTATATAAATAAAAAAAAAACAAACTTGTAAAAACCGTTACGAATTGTTTATTCGGAAAAAAGTGAAATAACTAGAGATTTTATTGTAACAAAAATCTATTCAACTTTTTAAAACAATGTACAAAGTCCTTTTGTCTTCTTCTGACGTCTTTCGACAACTTGCAATGGCGGATGGCTAAACAGAAACGCTTCGTTCGTTTCACTTCGTTAAAGAGACTAGCAAACTAGTGTTAATAAAACGATTTGCATTGTCTTTTCTTTTGGTGTTGCTTCGTGTATCTCTTTTCTACTTTCATATAAGAATTCATCAAAATATAATGAATAGAATAGATGTTACCAGTATTAAAGTTTATTTATAGTTATATATTTTAATATTGAATATAATATATAATTATATTATTTTAATATATTTAATATTTTATTTATAGTTATATGTATACATTTTTAATGCAGTTTTAATTACACATTATATATATATGTAATAATATTTATACACACACTAAAAAATTTATTTAATATCATATTTTATTAATATTTTGTTTTTAATGTTTATATTTATTATTATCTATAATTTTACACAAATTCATAACTTTCATATATGTTAAAAAAAAATCAGAAGATAATAGTGATGAAACAATACTCAAAGTGTATATTATTGCTACCAATTTGCACTGTTATAGTATTACAAGCTGTTTCCTCAGCGCAAGTAAACGTAATATAAAAATAGAAATTAAGGTGAAATTATAATCCGATCCAATGAGCAAAATTACAACTGTTTTGTAATTTGTATAAAATCACGTTAAAATCAATATCGTAATTCACAATAGTACAATACCGATATTAAGAAAAATTCTTATAGCGATACGATAACATATTAGATCTGTTCCTCGAGCTACCCGTCGTAACTTTGAGTAACACTGTGTATACACAAGTACGTTCCACCAGCAAATGTTTTAGTAAGTGAGTGCATTTGAGAGAACGTAACATCCCTGTCGAAATTTGAAAATGCTACACAACTTCACTCGTGCATTTTATTTCAAGTAAAATTTTTGTTGATGTGTGAATCAGCTGATTTGATTTGAATTTAAATTTTTGTGTTGTTAATTTGCGCAGTACTGGTGTTCTCACCAAAACCTGTGTAAAGAGCGTAATTTGGCACTTTATTTGTATTACGCTTTCAGTTTGTACTTGTGTTTTTTACTTGAGTTTTACTACGTGTAGTACGTGGAACAGACCTATTATTTAATCGTTCAATACTTTCATTTGCGTGTACAACAAATACAAAAAACAGAATTAAGATGATTTTAAAATTAAGGGTGTGAACAAGCTAAATTACAATTACTTGTTTTATATTACTCGGTTATCGAGTTTCTCATTACCAGAGATTCTGAATACCATAAATATTTTTATATTTTCCATACTCGTATTCAAATATTTATATGTAAATTAAGCCGGAGAGTGAAGACTTCAGCAAAATTATATGCATATTTAAAACCAAAGAAATAATGTGCTTCTACATTTCTATTAATTTGAAATGTAAAGGAACAGCATATATCGTTAAAACATCTTGTATATAAAACATATAAATCAATACTTATAAATCATAATACTTTCGTTTATCTCTTTGTATAAACGCTGTTATAAATTATTTTGGCCACGTAATTTATACTTCTATAAAATAAATTTAAAATAAACTGTTAATTGTTTTACTTACTTGTGTGCAGCTGTAAATTATTTAAGAATTTTGGTATGGTAATATTATTTTTATTTCATAAACACAATCATACAAATTGCTTCACAGAACATATGAAAGAAAGTAAAGGAGAGAGTCGAAATAACGTTAATACAGATTTGATTACTATTGCGTGCTCGTTTGTTTTTAATTCAATATTATTCTCACTGAAGTTAGGAAACAAAAGTTTATTTAATTGGTAATAATTAAATACAAGTTAAATGAAATTTGTATAAGTTTTAAAAATAATGAGTATGTACTTGCACTTAACACAAATCCTTCAAACAAAACATACATGCAACTTTTCAAGCGAGCGTCAAAAAACAACCCACGATACTGAAAGTTTGATTGTTTGATTTTTTTTTAGCGTGCAGAACTAGAAAGAAACGAAACTCATCAGTTGATTTATTTTGTGAATGCTAGTAGTGTGGGCTCTTTTAGTTTAATTATTTTGAATGCATTAAAAGTAGTTGGCAACACCTTACATGTAGTTTCCCATTAATTTGTAAACAAAACAACTTTGTTGTGTATTAAGAAAGAAGTTTTTATTAAAAGTTTTCTATATAAAATTTAAAACAAATCAACAAAATAATAAATTGCATTATGAAAAAACAAATGCACAAATACTATGTTCTTGCCAGCTTATATTTTTTATTTTCTGCTTCTTTGCTGCAAATGCGTATCATGTTAATGACTGAAACCAACAACACCGCGCCAATAATTATTGCACCGGCGACAGCATAGGGATAAAATCCAGGATAGGGATGTCCACTTCCTGTTGGTACATCTGTTAAAGATTCTACTTCAGAGTGTTTATGCTGATGCTGTTCTGTAAGACGTTCTGACGTTTTCGCTGGTTTTTTTTCATTCTGTTCATTGTGTACTGTAATGCTGGCCATATTACTCGACTCAATTGTTTCAAAAACTGGTTCTGTGCTCTCTATTTTGACAAAATTGGCTTTGCCATGTGTTATATCGTCATAGAACCGTTTAATGTTATAACCAAAGTATTCATAAATATCAGCTGTGAACTGTCGTTGATGCTCTGCCCACTGTCCAGTTACATCTACTTTAACACTGGATTTTGGATCCATGGTACGACCAAAGAATGATTTCTACTTAAAAAAAAAATTAAGTAATTTAATTTATTTATATAGAATTATTGATTATTACATCTTTAATATTTAAGCCACCATTACCAGCTCCATCCAATTCCAAAACAGCGTTCTTATGTTCATATAAAATCGGCAAAGGTTCTAATTTATCACCATATATTGTGCTGACATTCACTGTTATTTTTTCCACATAAGCATAGCTTATACTTCCATATATTTGCTTAGTTTCCCGACTAGGATTCTTTAATGTAGTTTTACCTAGCATTGTCTTATAGCTTGGCGAGGAATTGAACCAGGGCATATAGGTAATATTACGAACTTCATACATAATTGGTTGAATTTCCACAAGGACATTAATGTGAGAATCCAGTCCATACTAAAATATTATTTAGAACTTTAGAATAGTAATGTTAACACATAGTATAATTCTTACTTACAAAATTGTCCTCAAAAATCATAACAACACAAGTAAATAGATTTGCTGTGATATTCGTTACCAGATCGGATTGTCTGAAGTAGCAGAGCTCGGTTTTTTCACGATCTACATCAGTAGCTTTGGCAATATAATTTCTTCGCTAAAATCAAATAATACAAACATATATATTTTAAATAAATGATAAGCATATGTACTATATTCCAATTTTTATTGTAAATCAACATTTTGAAATGTATATAATGAAAGTTGATCCCTTTCAGAAAGGTTAGTAAAATTGATAAATATATAGAAAATAAAATAATAAAGCATATTACTTATTAGAAGACTTCTGTAATACAAATGTTCCAACAAAAATATGCTAAACAAAAAATTGCAAAAGATTTTTGTAGGACTATAAAAATATTTTTACAATAGAATGAAATACACAATTGTAACTTCTTAGAATTTTGTCAATATGCTTGCATCGACAGACAATCCCACAACTGTACCATACTTTACTGTATTGTATTGCATAGCTGGCTATTCTATACTACTCTGGCTTAGCTTGCTGCTTCAAGTATTTTAAATTAGTTTATAATCAGATTTTATACAATTACTTATTTCTAATATACATATAATTTCCAACTGTATATCCTAACTATAACTTCACTCCACATAACCCCGTATAATTTTATTCTTTTTATAACATTGGGTCCCTATTGACTTGTCCTTGTCCGCTCCAAAATACTAATGCATCCGAAATTGAATAAATTCTGTTTCCCCATCTCGTAATTCAATTCTTACTACTTAATCATCCCTTTAGCATATCTATCCTCTTAAATTGTATTTTCGATCCTTTTTTCATTTTATACTAATCAATATATAATAAACTATTCACAATTTTAAGTGATGATTAGATATATGTATTATAAATATTATATAGTATATTAGATAAAATGTAGTACTTTATTAACAGGGGTTGAGGGCCTGAAGTTCCCCCGAAAGGAATAGAAGGTTTAAATTTATATATATGGTATATACATTATTATTGCACCATGAACATTTAATAACATAAATTTTGTTTTTTGAAATATTAATATTGCCTGTCAACCTTCCAGAATCAAATTTCTGGCTACGGGTCTGTTTAACATATAGTAATAACTACAATATTTTACTTGTAGGAACTATAAAATCTATTGAAGTAGAAAAAATATGTTGATCTATTCAAACTATTGATTATCCGTAACACAGATAATTCATAATTTAATTGATTATTTAATTGAAATAAACTCAAATGCTTCGACTTACCTCTAAAGGATTCAACTCTTGTGCGTAGTTTTGTTGTATCATTGCATAAGGTACCCAAGCTAAAAGTGGGTTTGTTTTTCCGCTGCATATTTCGTGATATGAGCCGCGTTTTGATAAGTCTCCATTTTTTAATTTGAGGAAGGAATAATCATCCTTGTGTGTGGTGCCGTGATCCTTACACATTGTATTGAAGAACGATTCCTAAAAAAGGAATAACACAATAGGTTAGCAAACATTTCAACATTACCGAAATAAACTAAATACAAAACAAAATAAACTAAAGTGTTTTAAAGTAGTAAAAGTAATGGGGGAAATATTTTATCGATCCATGCTTTACTTATAACTATTTAACTATGCTGATAACTAATTTTTTCTGCTTTTATACGTTTACATATATGATTCATTCGGAACTATTTTTGGGAATTTATATATTTTTTTAATAATTTATAACAGAGTTTGTTTTGTACTTCATCTATCATATTTTTGGAATATTAGCTACATTTTTGTGGAGGAATTCGGTATGAGGTTTATATTGAACGTCATCCCGAATCTAGGTGGAGAAACCTGACCACTACAATGGGAGGATTGTGTGTGCAGAAGGACAGATGAACAGATGGGCGACGTCATGTGGAGAAGAGCTGCAGTAAGGGC